TTAAAATTTTAAACCTGTTATATATCCATGGTCTTGGTATTTTTTTTAAACTAAGACCTAAAAGTAGATTATGACAAATAAATTTTTTGTTTAATATTTTTTTTTAAAATTAATGTAAACTTTTTAATATATTATATTTTGGTTATATTTCAGGTTTAAAATTTTAAACCTGTTATATATCCATGGTCTTGGTATTTGTTTTAAACTAAGACCTAAAAGCTCTTTCAACTGGTTGCCTCCACGTGGCTAAGAGCGGAAACATAAAAATATTAAAATTAATAATTTTTATATTTTTATGGCTAAAACCATAATAGTATAACTATAAAATATATTAAATATAAGATCAAAAGCAATAGCGGGACAAATCATTAATATAGTATAAATAATGTAATATTGTTTAGCTAATATTAGAGAAAGTTTGTACAGTTAGAACAATGCATCCAATTATTTTTTTGTAATAACAATATAAATAGTTATTTTTAAGTTTAAATATTACCAATTATTAAAGTCCTATAATTTGAAATTTTTGACTATAATTATTGAAGGTAAAAAGGCATATAAAAATAAATATATTATATTATTATATAAACTATAAATAGATATCGAAGATGAAAACAACATCATATTATAGTTTGGTCAATGATTGAAATTGGAAAACTAAATCGTGATACGTCGGAAATAAAAAGACTACCGTGATTGAAACACCCACATTATTTTACAACAAATGAATATTTACATTTTTTTACCTATTACGATTGTATATAATAATATGTAATATAAATGGTATTTTATTATTGACAAATTATGATTGAAATATTATCTAGATATAATAAATACACATTGAACTTTTCCAAATTATAGAAGAGTGTTTAAAATTAACTATAAAATTTAATTTAGATATAAATGATTATATATTTTAATAAAAATTAAAATTTTGTCATGTAAAAATTTTGAAAATTTCATCAAAATTTTATTTCTTAAATAAAATCTTTAATAAATTAAATATTTCAAAAGATTTTTTGTCTATAGATGTAAACTAATAAAAACTATATTAGGATATTTAATTTTGAAATGAGATTAAGTGGTTTGCCAAGCCCGGGGTCCTAACCCCAGTCTCCCATATACAAAACATAAAATGATAAATTTTAACTATTAATGTAAGATTAGAAAGTTATTTTAAAAAACTTATATAAATGAAAAATAAATTAATAATTATAATATTTTCTAATTCATCAATCAGATTTAGAACCCTCAACTTTGTTTGATTTTTTAGCTTTTTAACACACTATCTATAAATGTAATCAAGAAATGAACTTTTCGTATTTTTTTTCTATCAACTTTATAATATCTTCTTAACGTTAATTTCACTCTCCTAATGTTAAAATTTTTTTTTTCTATCAACTTTCCTATCATCTTAATGTTAAATAAATCGAGAGCTATTATTATCTCGCTAATGTTAAAAATTCTTTTTTTAAATTTTTTATGGCAATGCGGGATTCGAACTCGCAACTTATCGTTCGGAAGGCATACGTTCTAACCATTGAGCCCCCCGTCAATTTTATATTTTGATATATTTGTATATATATATATTAAATTTTTTTTTTTATAAAATTAATTTAACAGAATGACGGGGTTGATGGGTAATTACTAATTAATTAGGTGTATCGATACTAAATATGCTTTATTAATATATTTCATAAAAATATTAATATTTAGGAGAAAAAGAGGTAAAAATGTTGCAATGTAAGGGTATTAGAAATATCATAATTTACATTTATGATAGAAATCAACTTGGGTAAAATTTAAAATAGATATCCTTGAAAATTTTTTAATTTTAAATATGGGCTAGACATTGGCTTTTTTAAATATTTTATTTGAATTCTCAACTACCAAAATTATTCTGAATCTTCTTGAAAAGCTAAACATGAATCTGCTTTTATTTTTTTAAAAAAACGGTTTTTTGACCGGGGACGCGTAGTGTTTTTGAAAAAAAAAGTGTTTTTTGAAAAAAATCACTAAGTTATAAAATAGTTTAAAATATAATATTTACATATTCTGTATTCTTTCAATGAGCTAAATATGAATCCGTTTTGATTTTTAAAAAAAAACTGTATTTTGGCCGGGGACGCGTAGTTTAGCCAAAAAAAAAATTTTCGAAAAATTTTTTTTTTTAAATTTTTTTTAATAATACCATTTTCTGAATCTCCTTGAAAATCTAAACATGAATCTGCTTTTATTTTTTAAAAAAAACGGTTTTTTGACCGGGGACGCGTAGTGTTTTTGAAAAAAAAAGTGTTTTTTGAAAAAAATCACTAAGTTATAAAATAGTTTAAAATATAATATTAACATATTCTGTATTCTTTTAATGAGCTAAATATGAATCCGTTTTGATTTTTTTAAAAAAACTGTATTTTGACCGGGGACGCGTAGGGACGCGTAGTTTAGCCAAAAAAATTTTTTTGGAAAAAATTTTTTTTAAAATTTTTTTTTATTAATACCATTTTCTGAATCTCCTTAAAAAGTTAAACATGAATCTGCTATTATTTTTTTAAAAAAAAGGTTTTTTGACCGGGGACGCGTAGTGTTTTTGAAAAAAAAAGTGTTTTTTGAAAAAATCACTAAGTTATAAAATAGTTTAATATATAATATTAAGATATTCTGTATTCTTTTAATGAGCTAAATATGAATCCGTTTTGATTTTTTTAAAAAAACTGTATTTTGACCGGGGACGCGTAGGGACGCGTAGTTTAGCCAAAAAAAATTTTTTTCGAAAAAAATCTTTTTTTTAAATTTTTTTTATTAATACCATTTTCTGAATCTCCTTAAAAAGCTAAACATGAATCTGCTTTTATTTTTTAAAAAAAACGGTTTTTTGACCGGGGACGCGTAGTGTTTTCGAAAAAAGTGTTTTTTGAAAAAATCACTAAGTTATAAAATAGTTTAAAATATAATATTTACATATTCTGTATTCTTTCAATGAGCTAAATATGAATCCGTTTTGATTTTTAAAAAAAAACTGTATTTTGACCGGGGACGCGTAGGGACGCGTAGTTTAGCCAAAAAAAATTTTTTTTGGAAAAAATTTTTTTTAAAATTTTTTTTTATTAATACCATTTTCTGAATCTCCTTAAAAAGTTAAACATGAATCTGCTATTATTTTTTTAAAAAAACGGTTTTTTGACCGGGGACGCGTAGTGTTTTTGAAAAAAAAAGTGTTTTTTGAAAAAATCACTAAGTTATAAAATAGTTTAATATATAATATTAAAATATTCTGTATTCTTTTAATGAGCTAAATATGAATCCGTTTTGATTTTTTTAAAAAAACTGTATTTTGACCGGGGACGCGTAGGGACGCGTAGTTTAGCCAAAAAAAAATTTTTCGAAAAAAATTTTTTTTTTAAATTTTTTTTATTAATACCATTTTCTGAATCTCCTTAAAAAGCTAAACATGAATCTGCTTTTATTTTTTAAAAAAAACGGTTTTTTGACCGGGGACGCGTAGTGTTTTCGAAAAAAGTGTTTTTTGAAAAAATCACTAAGTTATAAAATAGTTTAAAATATAATATTTACATATTCTGTATTCTTTCAATGAGCTAAATATGAATCCGTTTTGATTTTTAAAAAAAAACTGTATTTTGGCCGGGGACGCGTAAGGATGCGTAGTTTAGCCAAAAAAAAATTTTTTTGGAAAAAATTTTTTTAAAATTTTTTTTTTATTAATACCATTTTCTGAATCTCCTTAAAAAGTTAAACATGAATCTGCTATTATTTTTTAAAAAAAACGGTTTTTTGACCGGGGACGCGTAGTGTTTTTGAAAAAAAAAGTGTTTTTTGAAAAAATCACTAAGTTATAAAATAGTTTAAAATATAATATTTACATATTCTGTATTCTTTTAATGAGCTAAATATGAATCCGTTTTGATTTTTTTAAAAAAACTGTATTTTGACCGGGGACGCGTAGGGACGCGTAGGGACGCGTAGTTTATTTTTTTAAAAAATAAATTTTTGTAAATTTTATATAGTTACCGTATTTTTTTTAAATTAAAAAAAACATTTTCTAACTCATCTTATAAAGCTTAATAAGATTTCCCATTAATATTAATAAAAATAAATCGTTTTGACCGGGGACGCGTAGGGACGCGTAGGGACGCGTAGTTTTCGGGGACGCGTATTTTAGTCATTCCCTTAAATTCATCGATAAATTTCTCTATATTTTATTTTAAACTTTAATTTTGTTATACCAGTACTCACACCAAGATATTTTAAACTTAAAATTATCCTCCCACCATTAAAATTGTGTTATACTATAGTCCATGGGTATAGCTTCTTTTTTACCCCATTATTTTTTATTAAGCCCATAGATGTTTAAGCAACATTTTTCAAAATGTTTTGCATATAAGTATGTGTGGCTTGCCCACAAACGTGTAGAGGGCTCCTCATATTTTTTCTTTTCATCCAAATTAAATTTGTTACAATCTGATGGAAATGAGGAAAACCTAGCATAACGCCTTTGAACTTTCAACTTCAAAGGGCAAAAGTGCTATGTATCGTGTACCATATGTTGATTTTCTTATTTTACATTGGTGCACTACAATTCTAGCCCGACAATATATCATGATATAGCTGTATAAATCTGTCCAAAATTTCCACTGAAAAATGATGACTCCCACTAGCGCCCAAAATGATATGTATATAATTTAAATATTATAATCATTTTGGTTGATAAGAATTTTTATTATTTTATTGTAACAACAATATTTTTTTCTAACATCTGGTATTATTTAATGTACAAAGTTTGAAATGCTCTTCAAAGAAAATTTTATTTAAAATTTAAGAATATTTTATAAGTAATTTTTCTTAATTTTATGCATAAAAATTCCTTTCATTATGAAGTTACAATTTTTTTTATTAAAAAAAATAGGTTTTCTTAAATTATATTTTTAAAGATTTTTTTTCAAACTCTGATTGTAATCAATAAAATATTTAATTTATAGGATTACCTGGCAAAAACATCGGCACTTAAAACACAGCCAATTATATTTCCAAGATGTGGAACATTGTTTATATAAGGGAGAGCACTTGTAATTAGAATATTGTTGTGATTTGATTTAGGCAAGCTAGGAAGATAACAAACAAATTTTAAAAAATATGTATTTTCATCTATTGGTTATTAATTCTAAATTTATAAATTTCAAATATATATTTATACATTGGATGAGTCTTTGGAGTACTCTTTGTAAGGCAAAAATTGATGTAGGAGCTTAATATGGAATCAACATCATTACTATTTGAATCTTTAACCCCATTGGCATTCATAATTTCTATCAATCATTTATAAATTAATATGTTGATGTAAAATAATAAAAATATTGACAAAAATATCAAAAACATATAATCATGATTTATTTTCAAAAAAACTGTGTATATAATCAAGCAGGATTATAGCAATTAATATCAACTTTCTTTTGGGAATATATTAAAAATATAATTTAAATTATAACTTACAATTCAACAACATATATATATAATCTTGGTAAATTTACTTGTAGGTTTGCAATAATTTAGGAATTTATTTTGAAGTATTTAATGTAATACTGAAGTGCTCTGCATAAAATACTATTTTGTTTGCTAATTATGGTAAACGCATAAATACCATGAAATTGAGAAATAGTAAATTTGAGGGTTTTTATTAATTTTAAATTTCGGGCAAAAGATCGAAACGTAAAAAACACCCAAGTTCTCCAAGTTCTCAAAAAATCAATTTTGTTTAAATTTAATATAGCATGAAAATTATTTTTAACTTAAATGGTAGATCTAATATAAAACTATATAAAGCGTTCAATGCGTATGTTATATGATTTTAGGGCAGTGCATTAGCATATCAAAGATTTTCTAAAATGTGTTGGTTGGAAACTTATAAGAAAGCAAAATAGTGAATTCGTCATAATGGCGAATTCCATTATGAATTTCTACAACTTATTGTTAATTATTGGTTAAATAAAGAAAAAAATATAGTATCAAGTTTAACTCTTCGGTATCATTCAAAAATGTTAATATTTGCTTTAAAAAATTCTTAACCCTTTATAGCACATGTGGGACAGGTCTCAGTCATTTATAAAGCTTTATTACTTAAACTTCGATATTTCTATCTAGATCCTTTAGTAGCATAATATTTTAAGGCAAAATGTATAAATTTAATTTTGATTTTGTTTAAGTAGTTTAAATGTTTTAGCTATTTTTGGAACTTGGGGTCAGCAGGTAACTGTTATAAATGAGATTTATATTATATATTATCAATGTTATAAATGTCATACATATATTATCAATGTTATAAATGTCATAGATACAAATCAATCATATTTATATATTTATCAGGTGATTGCCAGTCAATAAAGCCATCCATATTTGTGTATGCTTAATTAGTATATTGGCGACGTTGTCGATGATCTTATTATGAACAAAGAAGACAAAAATAAAGTAATTATGAATAAAGAAGAAAAAAATGATAATATTATGATCAAATTTGATAACTTCGACAATCAAAACAACTTTGCTGATTACATTGAATATATTGATGATATGTTGGAGATAAGAGGTATATTAATAAATAATGAAACCAAAAAAAAAATATTATTTGCGTATATGGGTATTAGTAATTTAGCAGAGATGAGGTCCTTTGTTTATCCAAAAATATTGAAAGATCTTAATTATGCAGAGATTATTGAAGTGGGTAAGAAAGTTTTTAAGCCTATTTCAACATTATTTAGCTCGAGAATTAAATTTATTCGGATAGAAAGAGGGGTTGGTGAACCAGTTGCGGAGTTTGCAGCTCGACTTAAAAAATTGGCTCAAGAATGTAAATTTGAATCTGACCTAGGTGGGAGATTGAGGGATCAGATGGTGGCTGGAATCAAAACGGGTGCATTGGAGAAAGATATTCGCACTAGATTTCCAGAAGGAATAAATGACTTGGGAGAAAGTGTGAGTTTTCCAAAGGTTTTAAATATGGCTTTGGCAATGGAAAGGGCTGAGGATGAAGTGACAATTTTGATGGTAAGAAAAGTCAATAAACCTAAGGAGCAGATAGAGAATAATCAAGAAAATTTTTCGAATCAAAAGTACTCATATAATAATATTAACAAAGAAAAGGGAAATTTTAGTTATTACAATAACAATAATAATAATTTTAAGTTTAGAGATAACACAATAATGATATGTATAAGTTTAATAAATGCTCAAAATGTGGGAGAACTCATCCCCCTTTCCAATGTTTTGCATCAAGGGTGAAATGTTATAATTGCCAAAAGGTAGGGCATTATGCTAAATATTGTAAGGGACAGAAGTTACATGCTATGCATATAGATGACAATTATTCATCAGATTCAATTATTAATATTTCCCAAATTGGTAGAAATAGTGCAAAGATATTTGTTTGGATAAATGGAGTACCTATAGAATTTGATTATGATACGGGGGCACAGGTATCGGTGATTGGGAAACAATATTGGGATGAAATTGGCCGACCCAAACTTGGACCAACCAAACCTTTATCAGTATATGGTAACCAACCGCTAGATGTGCTTGGTAAAACTATGGTGAGGGTTCGTCTTGGAAAGATAAGCAGATCACTACCGATTGTGGTGACCCGTTCAAATGACATTCCATTATTTGGACTACCATGGATACTGGCATTTAATATGTTTATTCCACGACAAGTGACTATACGTAGTATCACAAATAAAGAGGTTATGACAACCAATAAACAAATTGCTGGCATGACAACAGAATTTTTTAGTGTTTTTGATGACAAGCCTGGACGGGTGAATGATATAGAAGTTAGCATACATTTGAGTAAGGCAGCAAGGCCGAAATCATGGCCAGCTCGTATAGTACCTTTTCCATTACGAAAACCAATTGAAATGGAACTCGATAGATTGGTTAAATCAGGAATATTGAAGGCGATTGATCCAACACATAAACGGTTACATGGGCCACTCCAACGGTAAACGTACGAAAAACAAATGGAGAAACAGGATTTGTGCGGATTTTAAGGTGACATTAAACCCATATATTTTGTACGATTATCATATTATACCAACGGTGGATGATCTTTTAACCAAATTAAAAGATGGATTGAAATTTACGGTAATAGATTTGAAAGATGCATATTTACAATTACCAATAAAAGAAAGTTCAAAAGAATACTTAACCATATCGACCCACATTGGTTATTTCCAATATCAATGTATGCCTTTCGGTCTTTCAAGTGCGCCAACCATATTTCAAAGATATATGGACAATTTATTACAAGACTGCCAAATGACCGGAGTATATCTTGACGATATTATCATAACGGGGAAAAATGATGTAGAACATTTGAATAACGTAAAAAAAGTACTAATTAAACTAAAACAGGTGGGTATGAAGGCAAAATGGGCCAAAATACGTTTTTTAAATGAATCAGTTTCTTTTTTGGGTTTCGTAATAGACAAATATGGAATACATCCAGCGAAAGAAAAAATAGATGCTATTCGACGGATACCAACTCCTAATAATATACACCAATTACGATCTTTTTTAGGACTTGTGAATTATCGCGAGAGATTTTTGCCACATCTACATGGAATTGCCGCTCCTCTGCATAAACTAACAAGCATTAAATCTTGCTGGGGTTGGTCGGACAAGGAACAATAGGTATTTGATAAAATAAAACAGCTTTTGTCAACAAATAAAACGCTAATTCCATATTCGCCAAACTTGCCAATTATATTGGAATGTGACGCTTCCAACACTAGTTTTGGAGCTGTGTTATGTCATTTAGTGAAAAAAGATATTAGCAGACCAATCGCATTTGCCTCGCGAACACTTCTAGAGTCAGAGAAAAATTATGCACCAATAGAAAAAGAGGCACGAGCACTTTTGTTTGGTATGGAAAAATTTCATACATTCATTTTTGGTCAAAAATTTTTATTACGAACAGATCACAAACCTTTGGAAAAATTATTTGGTGATAAACGGGAACTACCAAAAATATCCAATAGTCGATTAACGCGCTGGGCTTGGAAAATGTCCGCATATGATTTTGATATTGAATATGTTCCTGGAAAAGAAAATAAAGTAGCTGATACATTATCTAGACTGCCAATAGATGGCATAAAATCAAATAATGATCAAAAAACGCGTTAAAAATTAGAGCTATAAATTTGCACGATATAAATATAAGTCAAGTTGAACTCCAAAAGGAAACAAGGAATGATAGCTTGTTTAAAAAAGTAGTTAAAAACATTGAGCATGGATGGGTGGATTTTGATGCGGAAAAAAATACAGAGTTAGTTTGTTTTTATAATCGTAGAGAGGAATTGTCAGTAGATCATGATGTTATTGAATGGAATGGGAGATTGGTAATTCCAACCATTTTGAGGAAATCAATTTTAACGATTATACACAGAGGGCATCCAGGAATAAATGCTATGAAATCAATTTTTAGAATGTATTGCTGGTGGCCGAATTGCGATAAAGATATTGAACAATATGTTCGTCAATGTATGCCTTGTCAAAGTAATCGGTCGAATATTATGGAGGTTCCTTTATATTCGTGGAACATATCTAATATATCATGGGAACGAATTCATTTGGATTTCGCGGGGCCTATTGATTCGTATTCATGGTTAGTTGGAGTTGATGCACAGACTAAATGGGTTGAGGTTGAGTTAATGAGAGAGACCACGTCCACGACAATGATCAGGGTTTTAAGAAAATGGTTCGCACGGTTTGGAACACCTAGACAAATCGTATCAGATAATGGACCTCAATTTTTTTCTGGAGAATTTCTAAAATTTTGTTTCGAGAAAAATATTAAAATGATACATACAACACCGTACCATCCAAAAACGAACGGTTTAGCGGAAAGAACGATACGAACCTTCAAGAGTCGATATTTTGCAACTAGGAAAGACATCAGGGAGCACGAGGAAGCCATGGGAGAAGTTTTGCTAGCATATAGAATGGGTGAGCATCAATCAACTGGACGTTCACCGGCTAAGTTATTATTGGGGTGAAATTTAAAAACGGGATTGAATTGGTTACGTCCTAATGTTAGTTATGAAATAGAACGATCGAATATACGACAAAAAGTAGCGCATGATGAACATAGTCATATGAGAGAATTTGAGATTGCACAACCGGTATGGGTGCATAATGAAATAAATTCAGGTTGAAGAGAAGGAGTTATAAAATCCAGAACTGGCAGATATTTTTATTTGGTAGAAAGCAAGGATAGAATGGTACGAAAGCATGCGGATCAACTTCGAAAAAGGGAGGTAGCTTAAGAAATGGAGAAGTCTGGGCCAGGGAAAGAAAATGGAGAAAATATGAAGTCAGAGAGAGAAGAGGAAAATATAAAAAATAAAGAGTCGGATATAGTTGAGATTTTAGAAAATGTGGAAGATAACGGAAAACTAGAAACGCGGAAATCACAAAGAGCCAGGAAACCTACAAATCGGTTGATTGAGGAATTGTAAGATCATATGTGTGGGGATATGTTATAAATGAGATTTATATTATATATTAACAATGTTATAAATGTCATACATATATCATAGATACAAATCAATCATATTTATATATTTATAAGGTGATTGCCAGTCAATAAAGCCATCCATATTTGTGTATGCTTAATTAGTATAATAACGCTATAATTAACAAAGTTATTTCATATCACTAAATAGATAGACAGCTACATCATAATTCTAGAAAAATTAAAATTTCTCTATTAAAAATGTTTATATAATATCGTCTATAACCATTTTATTCTAGCTCTTACAACGCGCATGACCCTGATACTACTTTACATTCTTATGCGCACCAAATCCGTTTCTGATAACTTTACAAACGGTGCAAATTCTGATTGATTACAATGCTGTTAAATCATTTCACATTACCTCCAAACCTCACATCATATCTCAAATACCCAAAGGTGCAAGGCTTCAAATAGCGTGACCTTGTTTAAAGAATCTAACATCTTTGCATTAGTCATCGATTGGCTTGATTTTTATCGTTCTCTTTCCACACCTTACATTTTGCTTCAATCATATTCAACAGCTTTCCACACCTTACATTTTGCTCCAATCATACTCAACAGGTGAAAATGCATCAGAGAATCCTCTTACTTAGATCTATGGCCTATATCCTTCAAAAATGACAAATATTGTAATAAAATGGAAAGTCATAATGCGCTTAAAACGAGAGTTGAACTTATATATGAGAGCCAATTCATCAAATTTAAAACTCTTCAGATTCTCTTTTTTATAAGCGCTATTTCTTAGTAGATCCTCCTTAAACGTCATTGCAGAGGGAATGAGATTTACCCATGATTGAAAACTTTATCGCTCTTAATCAATAAGTAAACCTGTGAACATTATCTTCTCATTTCAACTTTATCAGAAAATGGTTATGAATTTCTTTAAGCCATCCCTTCTAGTGATTTTAATTTACTACCTACAAACTATGATCTACGCAATGACATATAATAATACCTAGACTGACAATTCATTCATAAAAGGCATGTATCAATTGAAATCAGCTGAGTAAAGAGCTTAAAATTATTTTAGAAGATATAACTATATAATTAATGTAAATATTAATAACTTTGAAAATAAAAATATGCTTGTGATAAAATAAAGTGTTTGATTAATAAAATTGAATGAGTAGCAAATTAAATATAAAATAACAATTAATAATGGTCTCATGGTCATGATATTAAGAACTAACTATGGGAAAATATTTATTATAAATATAACCATCGTATTTATTAAAATATTTTTTTATATTAAGAATTTAAACATTTGATAGTAAGACAAATTATCATCGTAATCAACATGGTGTTAATGACGTCTCCAGCTGATTTCAATTGATACATGCTTAAAAATGCATTTTAATGAGGGAATTCAGCTTAGGTATTATTATAATTATATCTATGTCATGCCATATGACTCAGGCTTAATTGCAATAAGATTATTCTTCCTCGTGTTCTCTTCCTAGGGGAGGGGGGGGGGTTAAAAATATCCAGGATTTTCTTATGGGGTGGGGGGGGTTTCGGGTCTTATGTTTTAGCTTTTCTATTAAATTATTTATAATTTAATAATAAATATATATCTATTTTTAACTTTTATTTACTAATTTGTGCATATCGATATTACAAGCCTATTTTTTATTATTTTAAGTTAGGTATGTTATATTTAATGATGCTTCCTAATATTATTGTGAGCTTGAACCTGGCATGACATCTATCGTAAAAAATGAATAAAAATCTCATTCCCTGTCATTTTTGACAGGCTTTCTACTTGTTCTAGTTTATAGAAAGTAAGTAGTCATATAGTTGATATTCCTCTGTTATATAGTATTAGTTACAAAAAACTAGGTAAAATTCCCTTTTACAGACATATTTAACAAGAGAATATATTACAGTTAATATTTAAAAATTTTTTACTAATCAATGCTCTTGATAATAAATATAGCAATAATTTGCATACCATTATTTAACGCCATCTATTTATTTTTTATAAAAAATGATTCTTCATATTATTTGTCCCACAATATCTTTAAAAGATATTTTCTGATGTCCTTATCAATTAAAAATTACTTGATTGTCATATGATAATTGATAAAATTAGATATACAGGAAATCTACGACATATAATATTCCAATGTTTGTATTGTGCTTTAATTTTTTTATTTATTTTATGATTTAATTTTATCAATAGTTTTATAATTATATTTTATTTTTATTAAGATAAGTAAATTAAAATTACTCACTTTATATAAAATTATACTTGATATATTATATTATTTAGTAATTCTATGGATCTATTATTATTCATAATTAAAATACATTACACTTTTGTTTTAAGACTTATCTTTGGCTTACATTCCATTTATTAAAAAACATTTTTGGTTCACTTTATATATATAAATGCTTTTTTCCAAAAATATATAAATTATGATGAATATTTTTATAAAAAAATATAAACATTTACATTCTTTTTTAAAATTATTGTTTAAGATATATGCCTACATTTTTGAGGGTCAGGGACTGAGGGGAGGACTACGGGGGATTAAGCTTAAAATGATATTCACAAAAAGTAATATATTTCTGAGGGGGGTGGGTGGATTTTACCTTGCTCCCCCCTGGCTATACCTATGTCTAATACAGACTGTTTTTGACCACTATGCTTTGTAAACGATGTAGAGGTATAAGATATAGAAATGTAATGACACCATATCTCGTGCCATGTAATCTGCTCTAATTCCTGAAGATCGTAACGCAGATGGAAAACATCTTGATAATTTGTTTAAGATTCCATGAGTGGTAAGTATGTAACCTGGGATTTTTCCTCTATAGATCACTAGTTTAAACCGTGATGCTATAGTAGACGCATAAGGAAGTAAATTTACCATATATTTATTCGTTTTACCTTCCAACTATTTATTCCTACTAATAATTGCTAAAATGATAACTTATTTTGCCACTCACGCTTTGGCCTTTTTCAAGGATATAGGGCATCGTATTACATTGAAGACCTAAAATACAAAACAAGGCTTTCACCTTAGGAATAACATATAATATAGCTAAATCAGTTTTATAATCGCTGTTGATGGATAAAAATAATTATATATCTTAATATAACTAGATTATCATAATTTTTAATAATTATAATTATATTATTTATCAAACTAGTAGATAGCCCGTCAAAAATGACGGAGAATGAGAATTTTATTCGTTTTTTTAAGAAAGATGTTACCTTTTATTTAAAAATCATATCCAATTTATATAATTTTTAAATCCCCCCCCTCCCCATTTAGGTCAAGTCCAAGCAATGTCATTGAGTCCAACCCATTAGGACTAAGAGTGGAAACTATTATTTGAGTCAAAATATATTTAAATGAGCTTGTACCCAATACCAAAATTCTTTGTAAATATATTACTGGTTACATAAGACTAACATTTAACATTAAAAAATTTCAAGCCAGGTCCAAGCTCATAATATTTGGAAAAAATTTCCACGCGTTCAAGACCTTATAATTTATAAAAAAAATTCTCAAATCTAGCTCAACCCATAATAATTTTGAAAATTTTTTCCTAGCCCGGCCCATAATAATTTGTATAAGATATTCCCAAGTCAGGTGCAAGCAAATATTAATCTTGAGGAATATTTTTCAAGCCCAGTCCATCACATATTAAGTTTCAAAACTATTTCCCAAACCCGGAGGTAGTTAAATTTCTAAATAATTTATCAACACATGAAGGGGAAATCTCGGATTTACCAATTAGTGAGTTAACTCCTTTTATCAAAAAATTTGATAAGGGCTATCTATATCTTTTGTTAAGTACAAAAAAATGCTATCTATTTAAATTACAAAAATGCCATTCAATACTAATGAAACTTATATGCAATTTATTTATATATTTTTTAAGAAATTTGTTTTTCTTGCCATATAAATTTAGGTATTTTTTTTTAAAAATGCTGAGGATTAATTATTACTCTGTGTGTCTGGTAAAAATAAGAGCAAATCCTTTATGACATTTTAATTTTTGATGGAAAAAGCGACAACATAAATCTGGGCAGTCGTCTGCAGAAGAAAAAATTAATGTATAATATCATCTCATTTAGGGTTGTAGGTGAAAGTAATGAATAATGACGGATTACCAAAGCAGTGTACAACACCCATTGCATCCTGATAAAGCTGAGGAGAAGAAAGCGAAATTATATTTCTGCCAAAGTGTCAATTTTGGTATACCCCTCTAAAATAGAATCATGAACGACATTGTCAACTCAACCATAAAACGATCGTAAGTATTGTTATAAAGGCCATGACAAAACTATCGCATATTTTCCCATTAATAATGTTAATGAAATTGGCTGCACTACACATTCACGTTTGAACATCTCTCTAAATATTCATGAAAGTTCCTCAGGGAATCGGATAAAGTATTATTTATAATAACTCCTAATGAGGTGAATGATAGTGGAATTAAATGCTTATATTTGTTAAAAATTAGGCAGAGGTGGCATAGGGATTGTGGTAGTGGTGATAGAAATATCATTTGGAGGCAACTGGGTGTATAAAATAAACATATAGATATAAAACATTAGATAAAAAACAAAATAAACCTCCAGAGGAGTTCACAGTGTCTTTAATAATAGATTCATCATGTTTGGTAGCAATGTGCGGGATTAGGGTTAGCCTAGACAAATAAAGAAATCAGGCAAAAATATAAAATACTATTGTTGAAATTAAACAAACATTAAAATAATGTAAAACCGGTAGAAGGGTCAGTGTCAGATGCATATTTCTAATAAGTTGGAGGGCTATCATCAAATAAAATTTTTGGGGGACTTATCAAGTCTATCATGATATTATAAAAGTTAAAAATAACATGATAAATGTAATGTTATTAAGATAAAGGTTAATTAATTGTAAGGTAATTAAAAAATTAGATTAAAAAAGGGGGGAAAAAGAAGGTATAAATTATTATATTATATTATATAAATTAAAGGTGATAAGGTTTTGAGATATAGTGGTTAATAGATAATAGAGATAGAAAGAAAAGAATGAGATAATAAAATTTAGTGATAAATAAAAATGTTTATTTTTGTTAAAAAATAGGTGGAGGTGGCATAGGGATTGTGATAGTGGTGATAGAAATATCATTTGGAGAACTGGGTGAAAATAAAATAAACATAGATATAAAACATAAGATAAAAAAAAACCTCCAGATGAGTTCATTTCAGGCGTAGTTCTTTATTATTTTGTCTACCAGTAACTCTAGAACGGGTAAGGCGTTTGTTTATTCGTCATTATTTTCTTTGCTTATCTTTAATAATAGAATCATCATGTTTTGTAGCAATGTGAGGGAATAAGGTTGGGTTAGCCTAGACAAATAAAAAAATCAGGCAAAAATATAAATAAACATTATTATTGAAATAAAATGAAGATTTTTTGGAATAGATATAAAATAATATATAATACTATTTATAATAAAAATAATATACTATGTATATTTTTTGTGCGTTATACAAAATAATCAGCAGGGATAATAGAGATATGGTGGATCCGACAAAATGGTAAGCTTTTAAAAAAGTAGGATCCTTAAAAATTGTTATATTCATTTATTTAAATTTTAAAAATGTACTTTGATATAATTTTCAATTAGACAAATATTCATCAGAGATAAAAGGGCATATTGAGCGTCCTGACAAATATCTAAAATAAAAACAAAGAATAATATAAAGAATATAAATGCAATGAACATGATCTAAAATAAAAACAAAAGAATAAATAAAAAATAGAGTCAATATTAGGTTAACCTCTCTAGAAATAGTGGGAATACAATCATTAACTGAGGTTAGGACATGGCTTGTTATCTAAAATAGAAACAAAAGAATAAATAAAAAAAATAAATGCATTGAACTTGATGAGGAGTCAATATACCACTTGTACAATCATTAAATATGGGTAAGACATGGCTTGTTATCTAAAATAGAAACAAAAGAATAAATAAAAAAAATAAATGCATTGAACTTGATGAGGAGTCAATATACCACCTGTAAAATCATTAAATATGGGTAAGACAGGGCTTGTTATCTAAAATAAAAACAAAGAATAATATAAAGAATATAAATGCAATGAACATGATCTAAAATAAAAACAAAAGAATAAATAAAAAATAGAGTCAATATTAGGTTAACCTCTCTAGAAATAGTGGGAATACTCATTAACGGAGGTTAGGACATGGCTTGTTATCTAAAATAGAAACAAAAGAATAAATAAAAAAAATAAATGCATTGAACTTGATGAGGAGTCAATATACCACCTGTACAATCATTAAATATGGGTAAGACAGGGCTTGTTATCTAAAATAAAAACAAAGATTAATATAAAGAATATAAATGCAATGAACATGATCTAAAATAAAAACAAAAGAATAAATAAAAAATAGAGTCATTATTAGGTTAACCTCTCTAGAAATAGTGGGAATACAATTATTAACTGAGGTTAGGACATGGCTTGTTATCTAAAATAGAAACAAAAGAATAAATAAAAAAAATAAATGCATTGAACTTGATGAGGAGTCAATATACCACCTGTACAATCATTAAATATGGGAAGACAGGGCTTGTTATCTAAAATAAAAACAAAGAATAATATAAAGAATATAAATGCAATGAACATGATCTAAAATAAAAACAAAAGAATAAATAAAAAATAGAGTCAATATTAGGTTAACCTCTCTAGAAATAGTGGGAATACAATCATTAACTGAGGTTAGGACATGGCTTATTATCTAAAATAGAAACAAAAGAATAAATAAATAAAATAAATGCATTGAACTTGATGAGGAGTCAATATACCACCTGTACAATCCTTAAATATGGGTAAGACATGGCTTGTTATCTAAAATAGAAACAAAAGAATAAATAAAAAAAATAAATGCATTGAACTTGATGAGGAGTCAATATACCACCTGTACAATCATTAAATATGGGTAAGACAGGGCTTGTTATCTAAAATAAAAACAAAGAATATAAATGCAATGAACATGATCTAAAATAAAAACAAAAGAATAAATAAAAAATAGAGTCAATATTAGGTTAACCTCTCTAGAAATAGTGGGAATATCATCCATCATAAGCTAAAAATAGATATGATCATAAAAAAAGAACAAATAAATTACTTCTTCTGATTTCAGGAATTCAAATAAAATGATAATCTCTAAAAATTGGTATCTGGCACTCCGATTTCAGTCAAGGAAAATGATAGTCTCATAAAAAATCAACAAATAAATTACTTCTTCTGATTTCGAAGTTGGTATGAACATCTGTTTAAAAAAATATAACAAATAAATAAATAAATACGTACCAATGACATGACGTAACGATGACATGACGTAGCGATGACATGACGTAGCGATGACATGACGTAGCGATGACATGACGTAGCGATGACATGACGTAGCGATGACATGACGTAGCGATGACATGACGTAGCGATGACATGACGTCACGATGACGTAGTGAGGACATCGGAAAATTATAATATAGATGATTGTTAGATTACAGGAATTGATTGAAATTGTTTTTTTTTAATCCTTCTTTCTTTCTTTATTTTAAAACGATGGTTATATGGGGATCTATAGTGATTATAAAAGTATTGATAATTGGTTGACTTTTGGCTTATGACTAGAGGAGGTTAAATTTTTAAAGTTTGTTAATTTATTGACTATAGGTTTAGATAGTCTGATTTAATTTTTTGATATTTTAAAAACAGCCTTACAGAAAATACAAAGTTGGATGCCAAATATAAAAAGTCTAATTTAAAAATAAAATCAAAAGGTAATTTTGAAAAAATTTATGTTACCTTTTAAAAATAAGCTTTGGGAAAATAGATAATTATTTCTTTAATAAATCAAAATAGCAGGAAAATTAAAAAAAAATTTATAAAAAATTTTATAAATTAATCTCTCTTCTATTTTGTTTAAAATAATAATTTAAAATTGTTTGGTTGAAAAGTTATTAAAAATATCTCTTAGCTCAAAAAATTTTGATATGAAGGAATCGATTATCTAAAAAGTAAGAAATAAAATTTTTTTGCAAGATTTTAATAAAAAATTTCACATTATTTTGGAACTTTGCCTCCAAAAACAGTAATGCAGAGCGGAAATTTTAATCTATTACAAAGAATAAAAGTTTATTTTATCGACTGATTAATTTAACATTATTTTCAATTTAAAAAAATTCAAAATCTGACAATTTTAATACTTCAGTATTTAACATAAAAACCATATATAAATCTTAATATTTTGTATGGTTTTCTTATTGATAAAAAGGTTGTAAATTTGATTCTTCTTCTATACTTCCCTACCATTTGATAATATTTATAAGATCATGACCCAAGTTTATTATCGGATAAGAATTGTGGTCAGTTACCATTATCAATATATTAGATTACTAATCTTAACATTCGATGCAAGTAATATGGTCCAAATTATAACATTGCTAATTCATAGCTATAAAATATATCATAAAATAAAATCAGCCATATTATAAAATGCAACATTAGCCATAATCAAAATATAATAAGGTTCTAGTATGAGGATAGATAATTTAATTTTACTATTACCTGTCATCTTCATTTTACATTAATTAATAGGTTTATTATTTTACTAATTTTTCTAAAAGAGATTTTTTTTAAGCAGTACACCTTTCTCAGAATTATTGAAAACTAACCGATGTTTCTGGGTGCATTCCTTGGGTATCTTTGACTTGGTTCCACTATAATTCAGAGGGTATATTGTTATAATAAAAATCGGATTATGTTTAGAACATAATATTAGAAGTAGTGTTATTTAAACGCCAGATTTGGGTCAAATTTTATTACAGCACAATTAAAATTTAACGAAAATCACGCCTTGAGATTTAGCATACAGATCCAAACTTTTCCTCTATAAGGAAAATCTCCAGCCTTACATATCATTATTTCAGTTATTTAAAAAGTGACCCAGATCTAGCATTTTAGCAACACTAATTAGAAGCAATTTTATTTTTTCTGTAATTATGCCCAAATGTTAAGTATAACTATAAGGTATTCTCCAAACTTTTGTTCTTTCAACCTTTAATTACTACAAATCGGGGTCAAAAAAAACTAGTGTGTAAAAATACCATCTAGTGTCATTCGCAAAATAAAATTTTGCATGATCTCTATTAGTCTTTACACATATATATTGAATATGTATTAGTATATGAAAAGGTTGATTATATCACAATTATAGTTAGTTCGATATGGATTTAAAAATGAAATATTAGCTTAATGCAATAATAACAATTCTTCAATTCTTATATATAAAAAATATTTAGAAAAAATATAATAATAAAATAATTAAAACAAAATAGTTAAGTTAATAAGATAAAATAAATTAAGAAATTGTTATGATATAACTTATAAAATAATATAACTAAAATGATATTTGTTAAATATACTAAAATATTAAAATTCAAGTTAATAATCTAGTTACGCTGCAATATATTTTAGAAAAGATAAACGAATAGTAAAATTAGAATAATAGAAAATACTTTAAAATATTATAATGACATTATTGATAAAAGCCACAAGTTCTCTAGGATATATATTCGTTAAATAAATTTGTCCTTATGAGGTTTTAACCTTTAAACGAGAGTCCATATAAATTTTGAATAAGGATGCATTATATTTAATTGGGTGTGATGAAATTATTTTAAATATAATAAAAAATTTGATATTTATAATTTAATTATCCTAACCCAATATTAAATTTCTTCCCATAACATTGTCTTGACTAAACCTACTAGATTTTAATCTGAAATCCTTTTATTATAACTAAGTATGACTAATTTTTTAATTTGAATTATTTCATGATATACACCAAATTTAAATTGTTAAAAGATACTTATAAATAGTTAAAATATTTATTGAATGCGTAAATATAAATTCATAAATCTTGCAATTATTTGATGGGAATATATCATAGATTTTAATTTTTAATGGTCCAAGTAATTATCCGAGTTTAAACAAGTAAAAAGGTTTGATTTTTTTAAATTTTACCATGCTTGTTTTATTTGAAACTGCTGCAGGATTTGCCCTATTTAAAGTACATAAATATACTTTATGTCTCATGTATCTAAATTTAATATTAGGTTTTAGATGAAAAAAAACTATCAATGGTTGATAATATACTTGCTGAATTCCAGGATTCTGAAAATGCTGGGAAAATGTAACTATATTTTAAACAATATGATTGAAAAAATTTATTTAGTTTAAAATTAAAGCATTTTCACAAATTTGGGGATACAACTGAGGCCCTAGATGGTAAATTTATATGATGAATTATTTTCCCAATGCTGATTTAGATTATACTGATATAATTTTATTTATATAATAAATGTAAATTTTTATATAGCGGTTTCTGCGTTGATTGAAGGGAAAATGGGAAAAGTTTTGAGAAAATTTTTGAAAAAAATAATTCCTCAATCTTTGCATGAAGAGATAGCAGTTGCTGATGCCAAATTAGGCAATTTGATAAAGGTATAATATTATCATATTTAAAAACATCAAATAGTTCTAATTATAATAACTTTTATTGACACATTTTTAAATATTAATATCTTTTATATAAAATAGGTTTTATTTTATTTGCCCATTTTTTTTATTATTTGTATCTTTAATATAATAAGCATATATTTTTTTATAACTTATCAGGAAAAATTTCAAATTAACTGTGTGCATAACTCAAAAATCATGGATTTGATGAGAGGTATTCGAAATCAAATAGACTCATTGATACCTAACATTCCAGCAAAAGAACTTTTAGATATGTCTTTAGGTCTAGCTCATAGGTATATTTTTTAAATTAATACTGAATTATATTATTATTACAAAATAGTTTATCACGATACAAACTCAAATTTAGTCCAGACAAAGTTGATACAATGATAATTCAAACCATATGTAAGCTATTAATTTTGTTTACATTTAAGCTATGTTTGTATATATTGCTAAAATTAACTAGTTTGTCAATAAAAAAATCAGGTCAAAGATGATTAAATTAATATGTTCAAAAGATTACCTTAATTAATTTATTATTTGTTTATAAATTTCAATAAATGCTAAATAAAAGTACCTTTTATAAATGTCTAACTATTTAAAAATTAGATTGCAAATCTTATATTATTTATTTTTAATTTTTAGACATACTCCAAAAAATCTAAGAAATTAAGATTTCGATAATTTTTTATTAAAAGTGAATGAAATTGATATAAAAAATTAATTTTATTACTCAAAAAATATGCAAATTTAATATTCTCATCAGAACAAATATGGATTTATAATTAGGACACTGACTTAACAGGGACCAATTATGTATAAGCCATGGAACCAGGAATATTTTTGAAATGTAGTTGGTTTAATCTCATTCCAGGATATTGGTTATGATTAAGCATGGTGTGTTAGAGAAGGGATCATAACTTACAAATTGCTTGACATTTGACTGCAAATACCTTTTGAATATTATTTAAACTTTTTGAGAAATGTAATGATAATGTGTCAGAATATGCATTACTTTTAAATATTTCTGGGTTCACTATGCGGCTAGCTTCAAAATTTAAAAATGACATAGTATTTGATATTAATTCATTTGTTCTAGAATGTTTTGACAAGCCAAACCTTAGAACATGTTAGATAAAACACTCATTCTATTATATAAATCACAATAAATTAAAAAAAAAATTTTCATTGGCTCATCTTCTCCCCTTCGCACCATTTCATCTAGTACTAATATTTGAATCCTGCACTTTTAATCTTGAACAAGTTACTTTAATACTAATATTTAGTGATCTGCATCGCGCCTAATTTTTCAAGCCCGGCCTGATTTTTTTTTAAAAAAGTTTTGCCGGCCCAATCTTGAAATTTATTTTAAGTAAATTTATGGGCCTGGCCATGCCAGAATTTATTTAAATATAGAAATTAATTTTTATAATTATTTAAAATAAAAGACATGTTATATAGAGTTTAGTTTCAATAAATTAAATTAAAAATTTTTTATTTTACATAAAAAAATTCAATATAAATTGTTAAATTTAGATATATTTAATAAAATTTCCAAGATCCGACCTGACCTGGCTCGAAATTTTTTAAAAAAATATTATTGGCCTGGCCCAAACCCGATTATTTTAAATAGAATTAGGCCATAGTCTGGCCCAAAGCTTGTTCGGGCCAGACTCGAACTGGGTACGGGCCGGGCCTAACTTTGCAGATCTCTACTAATATTACCTAAAAAGTATGCAATATAAAATCTTAAATAATTTTAGAACCAAATGAGTGTTTAAACAATTTCTATTGTAAATAATCACAAAACATTGAATACAAGTATGTTCTTTGTAAATAAAATTTATTTATAAAAATTGCATTCATGGCAGCATTATGCTTGATATTACCAATTTTTGCAGTGTCTTTAGATTTTGTTAACATATACCTCTATGGACCAAACTTGCAAATAATACAAAGAGATTTAGAAGGATTTGCCCTTTCTTCTGGTGGGGTTTCCTAGTATATCTCCAATCATGAACTGGAGTGTTTAAGTGTGAAAAAGAAACTTGTGTTTTGACTTATCATTATTCTTATGAATAAAGTGCTCCACGGGAAATAATGATGATGAAAGGAAAAAAATTTTTATGGGGAAATTATTTTAAATAATTATAAATGATAGGAAAAAAATTATTATTTGTAAGCATACAAATTTACATGTTTGCCAAATATGCTTTATAATATTTACGAATGTGTGGTAATAATTTAAAGTTAAAATATTATGTTACAACACAATATATTCCATGTTCCTTTATTACACAATTGATATGAATATAATTAAGGAATTCAATTAATTTATCCATACTAAATATCAAAATATTTCATTATTCAAATTGCATACAAATAGTGTAATTCAATTTGTATTTTTGTAGGCCAAGCAATCAAAAGTTTTTTTAAATTGGGTTTGTAAATATTATTTTTTTTTTCCACGTAATTTAATTCAATTTTCTATAAAATTTGCATATTATTTCTAACATGTTTTTTTTTAAATATCTGACTTGCAAAGTAATTTTTTTTTGGCAAACTACTTAACTTTTGAATAGTATCTAATATATATCCGAGATCTGCAGAAGTGCCATTTGCACAGCCCAGATTTTTTTTAAAAAAATTTCCCAGCTCGGCCCATATATATTTTAAAAAATTAAAATATGGCCTGGGTTGGGCCTGCAAATCTCTGTTATATATATATATTTTAAAGAATTTCAATATTTTGTCATGTCTAAATTTATTGATGATTTTATTAAAATCAATAAAATATTTTTGATTTAATATAAATGATGCTTCAAGATAGAATTTATAAATGATATTTTTCTGAAATCAGATTTTACTTCTTTATTTTCTCTTAAATAATTAAAGCTTTACTAGATGACATGGACAAGGAACTGAATAATTATATAATGAGATGTAGAGAGTGGTATGGGTGGCACTTTCCCGAACTCGGCAAAATTGTTTCGGATCACACGATGTATGCTAAAGTGGTCAAAATGCTGGGTAAATTATAATCAATATTAAGGCTAATGTTAAACGGCTCGATTTGAACCTATTTTTAAGAACAGCTAACCCAATATTTTATCTAGAAAAATATTGATTAAACCTCGAGATTTTGCTAATAGATGTCAGTAGTGTTGTTAAAAAACTGAGTCAAGCCGGCTCTGCCCTAAACTTAGCCAGTTTTTGAGCCGATAATTAGACTCGAGCTGGCTGACTTGGCTTGCTCGAGTCGGCTCAGGAGTTGGCTCAAGCTGTTAGCTCAAGCCAAAATTTATTTATTTGGGATTAGTGTTGTTAAACGGCTGATCCAAACCCGCTTCTTGGCTTACTAGTGTTGTTAAACGGCTGAGCCAAGCCGGCTTCTTGGCTGCCATGCCGGCTTATCCCTAAACTCAGTCAAATTTTGAATCGAAAATTTGACTCAGACTCAAAAATTATAACATAATTACCTTGTTCAAATTTGATGATGAAACATTGCATCAGAATTTATCCAAGTTGTATCCATATATATTAAAAAGCTTAATATTAATGGGTCATTACCAGCCAAATCTACACAAGAATCACGTACAACTTCAATGTCTTCTCTTTTGCATAGAGGAAGTACGCTCATCCTTCGAACAATAGTGTATACAGAGGACTCTTCTCTATATTGCTTTACCAAGCCTAAATGTTGTACTTTACGCCAAACAGCTTGTGTAAAGTGAAAGAAGCAGCCTAGAAATAAATTATATTGTGACTATATACAATTTAAACATTACCCTTTACTAAAATATTCGGAGCTGATATCGCACCTGCTTCAAAATCTGTTAGTGCCATGTCTGGCAAAAAATGGATACCATTTAATGTGGTACATTCAATAATTTGAAAGAGTTCAATATATGTCTCCTTCATTTTATCTGGAAGAAGTGTATATATAATGGGGATCATAGTTTGATTATACAATATATGAATTGTATATAATTGGGTAAATAAACGTGGACATGATAAATAAATTTAGAATATGAGGATAAATTGATTAATGTTGCACATCCAAATACAATGAGTTTATTATCATTGTTTTTTATTAAAAAATTATGACCACTGAATGTTGTTACGAGATCAGTGGTTAATAGAATAGCATCATTGCTATTGGGAATATTTGACCGAGTTTGTTTTAAAACACGATAAATCGTGTTTTTAACTGAAACAAATGGTGGAAGGGCTCCAGGATAATTATATATATCAAGATCTTCAGCACATTGTTGATTCAACGCATTAAGATAGATATTCATCCTTGTATCTAATGGATTTTGTTGAACAGTTACTTTTAGTGTTTGTAAAGTCTTTAATTTGCGGAATAATATTGCATGATTCTCATGCTCATGAATTTTGGATACTGTGTATCGCTCAATATATTTACATGTAACTTTACAATTGGATTTTAGGCAAATAGGTTGTATACCTATATGTGCCATTGTATCTGTAAAGAAAATTTTCAAAAAAGAGCAATGTTTTGCCCTTTTGACTATCAATAAAAGTTGGCTCCTCTAATATATAAAAAAAAATTTAAAGATGCTTATATAGTAATTTACCAAAAATACGTTTATTTTCATGATAATCTACAAGAGATTCTGCAATCCCATAATTAATCATGCTTTCTAAATAATATTCACCTATAAATAAATATGATATAGATATTTTCATCTAAAAGAATTTTGTAATACTCACTTCTGAATTAAGTTGAGATGTATATGAATCATTAATGTTGGGAGAATCTATATTTTATATAATTAGTTTATATTTTATATAATTAGTTTACCTGTTATAAAAATGTTACTATGAAAATCAGGATAACATGTGGAAATATATGAGCAAAGGGGAGAAGTGTAAAGACTTGGAGTATCACCTATTTTAAAATTTGTGCTTAGATAATGGTATTATAATATGTTGTACCTAAAATGACAATATTTATTTAAGATTGTTTATAATATTTAACCTTGATTTGGAATGTTAAGTGAAGGTGCTTGAGAAGTAGTTGGTAATGGATCATCTATTTAATATGGAGTTTTTTGTTTAAAAATTATGGGATAAAATATTTATACCTTGAAAATTTGAATTGAGTTGTTCTAAGATAATATTAGATGATAAAGGTAAAACATCTAAAAATATAATAATATATATTTGTAATTAAATTTAAATACTTTGGATTGGTTTACAGGTCTCTGCATGACTTTTAGTTATACTAAAGTCACAATTTATGCTGAGTTTTGCTCTGCCGCCGCATTTTTTGTTGCGGCAATAGTAATATATGGCACTTTTACCAGATTTATGTAGTAAATATTGATATCCCAAATATTCTATGTAATTTTTATTTTTGTTTGTTTTCTAAAAAAAAAATTTTATATGTAAATTATATTAAACATACTTTCATTTCTAATTTCCTAAGCTTAAGTAATCGTATCCGTTTTATATCGCGAAACCAAAAAGCGCTAAAAAATAGGTAGACACCCATTTTGATTATCAAAAAGATTACCAAAGATGGCCAACAATACTATGAAGATTCAAACCGTCGCAGAAAACATGATAAATTACTTAAGCTTAGGAAATTAGAAATCAAAGTATGTTTATTATAATTTACATATAAAATTATTTTTTTTAGAAAACAAACAAAAATAAAAATTACATAGAATATTTGGGATATCAATATTTACTACATAAATCTGGTAAAAGTGCCATATATTACTATTGCCGCAACAAAAAATGTGGCAGCAGAGCAAAACTCAGCATAAATTGTGACTTTATAGTAACTAAAAGTCATGCAGAGACCTGTAAACCAATCCAAAGTATTTAAATTTAATTACAAATATATATTATTATATTTTTAGATGTTTTACTTTTATCATCTAATATTATCTTAGACAACTCAATTCAAATTTTCAAGGTATAAATATTTTATCCCATAATTTTTAAACAAAAAACTCAATATTAAATAGAAGGCACCTTCACTTAACATTTCAAATCAAGGTTAAATATTATAAACAATCTTAAATAAATATTGTCATTTTAGGTACAACATATTATAATACCATTATCTAAGCACAAATTTTAAAATAGGTGATATTCCAATAGCCAGTACAATCCAAGGGCAATCACTGAACCTTCCTAATTAAGGTTAAATATTATAAACAATTTTAAATAATATTAATAAAAACCACCTTAATGTTTAATAAATATTTACATCAAATTCTATTAAAAAATAAAGAAATAAAATGTTGAGTCAATAAAGGACATTTAAAAGAAAAAAATTATTTATATTTTAATTTCTATTCATACCTAAAAAATAAAATATGTACAAAAAATATTAAAAAATAGGATGTATGTAACTTTGCCTTTTTTATTTATGGCCTTGCATAAGCATAAATAATATTAAATAATAATTTAAAAAAATTACATTCAACGATAAAAAAAAAATAGGAACTTGTTGTTGAATCCATTATAAAATTTATTTTTTTAAATAATAATAATTTCTTTTTATTTGTAATTGTATTTTTAATTTATTTTTTTCATTTATAAAATAATAATTGAAAATATAAGATAAAAATGCTATAAAAAAACAAATTATAATAAATAAAAAGTAAAAAGAATCAGTGCAGACTTTGCAAAAAAACAAAAATTGGTAGGGGAGAATGGATTAATCTGGTGAAAATTTTATATGCTGTTATATAAAATTTAACAAATAAATATATTTTTGGTATCGCGTAATTAGAGAGAAACCATTACAGAGAAAACAATTATAGAGAATGTCGTTTATAGAGATTTATTTTACAGAGAATGATTTTATAGAGAATTTTTTATAAAGAATTTTATTTAACGAATGATTATTTTATAAAAAATGTTAATTAATTTTGTATAAATTTGTGTAATTATTACTTAGGTAGGGTGCGCCTGCGCATACATAGGGGGAAAAAAATACACTATTTGTATTAATGTTGTATATTATAATTACCTTATATAAGAGAATAATTGGGTATTTTTTATTGTAATGAAATGAAAGGTTATTAATCAAACAATTGTTAAAATTTTTTATAGATGTTGAGGAATTTATCAACATTCTCAAACAAAGTAGGGCCAATTAATGGGAATTAATTGAATATATGTTTAATCATTAATTCGGTTTTTATTAAAATCTTATGATACTATTAAAAATATAATATTTCATTATAAAAATTAACCTTCATGCAATTTTATCTTCATAATATTCATTTAATAACTTTAAAAAAAATAAATGCTAATAATAAAGTAAATTACAACCTATATATCCTGATACACCAGAGTTGTTATGATACTTTTCATATTTATCTAGATAGATACATGGTCTAAAAAGCTTAATATACCAAGATTTTTAAATAAATTTTTTATTTTAATCATGTAAGATGAGTGTAAAATATCAAAATAAAATTTATTCAGTTTGATATTTTATATATAAAAGAAAATTTGTTTATTAAAACAGTTTTCTATATAAAATCCTCAATTATGCTATTATTTTTTTTTTACATAATATTTTATTTCTAAAGATAATATTGGCTGAGAGATAGTAAAATAAATTGCAAGGGTCCTAGGAAAAACATTCAATACCTTACTATATTATTACATCACTGATTTAAAATCAATGAAAGGCTTCAAATTATGGCTAAACCGTTTAACAACACTAATAAGCCAAGAAGCCAGCTTGGGTCAACCGTTTAACAACACTAATCACAAATAAATTAATTACTGGCTTAAAAGTAGGCTTGAGTCAACTCTTGAGTCAAATTTTCGATTCAAAATTTGACTGAGTTTAGGGATAAGCCGGCATGGCAGCCATGAAGCCGGCTTGGCTCAGCCGTTTAACAACACTAGTAAGCCAAGAAGCGGGTTTGGATCAGCCGTTTAACAACACTAATCACAAATAAATAAATTTAGGCTTGAGCCAACTCCTGTTGAGCCTGAGCAAATTTTTTGGCTACGACCTCGAGGTCGCGATAAAACTCGGCTTTTTAACAACACTAGATGTCAGTACCTTTGTGCTTATAAATAGGCAAAATTTTCAAGCTCGCGTAATATTTCTGGATATAATATTCAGTTCGTTTTTTATAAATCGGCTCGAATTAAGCCATTTAACATCACTAACAGAGGCATTCTTTTTGTCAAGTATTTTAAGTTATATCTAATTGATATACAAAAAAACTGGGCTTGAAAGAATAAAATAATTATATATATTAAATATAAATAGTCTGTTGTCTGGAATATCAAAAAATATGATTAGCAAATGCTTTTTGAAATTTTTACATTAAATATATATTTTTTAAAAAAACATGACCAAAATATAATACCCAATTAAAAAAATTTCGAAATACATTAGTATTAGGGTATATCTCCTACCCTTCAGTGTTAAGGGTACTTCTTATAAGAGTGGGAACATGTTTTAGTAAACTTTGATGCACTTTTCTCCTTGTTTACCTTGGTTATTGTAATAACTTGTACATGAGGTATATTAATTTTATTTTTATATTCATGTGTTTTGTCTACAACCCCAATAATCAAGGTGAACAAGGATATGATTTTAGGCATATTCCTAAACTATAGGTTTACTGAATCTTATTAAAGTCATGTTTATTATTCCGTCAAACAATCTCATTATTTTTCGGGATCAAATTTGATTCCCCCCCTTAAAAAAATTTCCCCCTAAATACTGGCTTGATGTTGTTAAACGCATGTTTAGAGATTTCGTTAATAGACATTAGAGTTGTTAAATGATACTTTTTAAATGGATCTAGATACAGATACATCGTCTAAAATAATATCTAGATACAGATATTTTAATCAAAAATCTATCTAGATACAGATATCACATTTTTATATCTAGATACAGGATCTAGATACTTTAACAACTCTGATAGACATACAAACCCATCTGCCATCAATGAGTAAAATCTCCAGGCTTGTGTAAGTATTTTTTTTTGGCTGAAATATCGGGTTAGTCGTTTTTTAAAAAAATCGAGGCGTTTAACAACGCTACACTTTGGTATCTCTTAAATTTTTTTTTTTATAAATTATGGTTTTTAAAGGGATGAGAACGAATGCTCCGAACACTGATTTATCCGAAATCGTTTCGGAAGATGTGGAGGAGCAAATCAAAGTGGCTGCACAAATATCCATGGGAACGGAAATATCTTTGGACGATATACTCAACATTGGATTTATGTGTGAACAAGTTTTAAAAAAAATTATATATATATTCAGATTCCGATTATTTTATCTATTTTTTTTAATCTACACAAATTCGAATTTAATTATTAGCGTAGTTAAAGAAAATCCGGTATGAACCACCGGTTCAAGAGTTTGTTTCACCTTCCCTACCATCCACCAATAATTATTTTGGATTCCATTTTGCCTCCTTTTCTTCTTCTACAACTATTCATTTTGTATTATATAACTTCGATTTAAATTATCTCTCCCCTAGATCCTAGAAATGTACGATTACAGATCACAGCTGTTCGATTACCTCAAAAATCGAGTCATGGCGATTGCTCCGAACTTATCTATACTTGTCGGCGAATTGGTTGCCTCCCGTCTTATTGCTCATGCCGGTATCCATTTTTTTTCTTTCCAATCTCTTCGTGAGATCTTTTTTTTTTAAAAAAATAAATCATGTTTTAGTAAATTTGTTGAAGAAAAGGATGGAGGATATTTTCTTTGAGCTATGTCCTAAATATATTTTAAAAAATCTTAAAAATTTCAAAACTTTATTTTAAAATAAATGTAAAACATGCCCAAAATATTCCATTAAAATAAAATAAGTTTTGTAAATTTTGAAATTTATAAATTCTACCAAATTATTCTTATTACTTTCTCTATTTTCCCATTTTGATTAATATCAGAGACCTGCAGGCCTAACCTGGGTTCACGCCTGGGCCATTGTAAAACCTAATATTTTAGATTGCTATTATTAGCTATAAAAATTAAAAATAAATAAAATATATTTTTAAAAATATAAAACCCTTCCTGGGACAAAAAATCCAGGCCTCGCAAATGGTAACTGCTGGTCTAAGATTAACAGAATTGTCCATTTCTTGTAATAATTTGAAAAATTATAAAAATAATTTAAGCTAATAAAAAGTTAATAATTTTCTTTAAATTCGACAAAAAAATGATTTAGGCTACAATTTTATTTTTGCATTAAAAAAAAGAGCTTATTTCGCTTTTTTTTCTGTTTAAAGTTACGAAAGTTTATTAATTTATATTTTTACTTGGGGCAGAATCTTAGTTGTAAAAAAAATATGACAAAAAGATATAGCAACCTTTTTTTATAGGTATTTTCTCTGCTTACGTCAAATTGGCATTCGTTTTTAATTTATATATATACTAGACTTCATTTAGCCCCATCCGGAAAAATAATCTTAAGGATTCATTTATAGTGGGATCCTATCCCCCACGATTTAACAACTGGTCTATTTTTAAAATCTGTTTATGAGATCCCTTTTCCTTTATTAATATTAATTTTATTCATGATATAAACTAAGAATTTGATTTTTTTTTAAAGAAAATTGATCTTGTAAACACATTTTTGTAGGGATTTGGAGGATTAAGATAGGCAAAAATTAAAGATATTTATTTAAGTGGCGTTAAAATAATAATTTTTATCATAATTTATAAATATATATATATATATATCCTTTTCGGTAAAAGTTAATTGGATATATTAAAAACTTATTATTTCAAGAAGAAATTAAATATTCGATTTATAACCGCAAAAAAAATGTGCAAAGACAAACAGATGATATATAATATTACTACAATTTAAAAAAATTGAACAGCTGTTAAATCATATACGTCCCACTATGAATACAATTAAGAATGAAGCTCTGCCAATCTAGCTCTACATTTTTTTATCAGATCCCCCCCCCCCCTTCCCAATTGTGATATTATAGAATTTTTTTTTAAGAATTATAATTTAATTAGAATAATATTTTTAAATACATGATAAGGTTCCCTGATGAATCTTGCTAAATGTCCCGCTTCTACGGTTCAGATCCTGGGTTCCGAAAAGGCCATGTTCAGAGCCCTCAAAACTAGGCACAATACTCCGAAATATGGTCTATTATATCACGCAACTCTCGTAGGCCAGGCTACACAAAAAAACAAAGGAAAGGTTTCGTAATAAATTTCTATTTCTTACCCATTTTTTTTTATCAATAATAAATCTGGCTTAAGTTTTCACTTCGAGAATATTTATTTAACAAAATTAATATATTTGTAGAAAAATATCATTATTATATAAAAACATAATATCATTTGGAAGGCCAAAAAATATTTACATGGTAATCTAATACACGCAAATTGAACGTTTACGTTTTGTCTTAAATTTTTGATAAAAAAAACGTAACACATCTCTTGTTTAAATCGAGGTTGCCTTTTTATCAAAATTTTAAATAAATTCTAAAAATATCGGATTTGTCTTTGAATATTATATTATCGTCTGCCTTCTTATTTCTTTAATTAAATATTCCTTTTTAGGTTATATAAGTAAGTTATTTATGTTACATTTTGAAAAGGCAAACCTCTTTTTTATATTTTTTATATGGTTGCTAATGACAAACGATAATTTTACCAATTTGCAGGAGGTCATTTGAGAGGCATTATTGCAACGCAGCATTTGAAATGCTCAATTTGCTCGCACATTCAAATTATTTGGCCTGTCCCATAATTTTTTTAAAAATATATATATTAAGAGAAATCATGAATTTGCACTTCAAATATGTAAAAAAAAATCTTGAACAAATTATCCCGAATACTGGGCTTGAGTTGTAAGGTTCACTGATATACTTTACATTTATTTATTTTATGAGCTGTCCAATGACATATATAACCTAGACTGACATTCATTAAAAGTGTACATCAATGCAAATCAGATGGAGACGCCATATTAATTTTAAAACGAGAGCCTAATTTATTCCTATATCTGATGCAAACTTTATTAAAGAATTACCGGATCATCGAGATAATAAGGAAGCAAGTTATTAATTTAATAGCAGTTTTTTAACATGAGAATAATTATTATATGTGTTACCAAAATGGCGGGTCCAGCTGATTTGCTTTTTACGACGCTTAGAAATACATTTTAATGAATGAATCGTCAGTTGGAGCTGTCGCAGATTTTGTATAAAAAACAGGGCTGATTAATTTTTAAAATATTTTGGGTGGTAAATATATGCAGCAATAAAAAATATTCACAAACCTATAAATATTTATATAATGGAGTTAAGGAAATTCATTGGGATTAATATTCTCATGTCGATTGTCCAATTACCGTCCATAAGAGACTATTGGAAAGATGTAATTGGCAATGATCTTATAAAAAGGACTATGATTATCACTAAATTTGAAAGCATTCCATCCATTCTTCATTTTAACCCTTTACCACATGATGTTTGCTTTTAAGTTAGAAAAAAATCTCAGGTATTCCTTTTGACATATTAATCGATAATTGATCAAAACATTTTTTTTTATTTTGACCATAATAATGTATGTTACATATAAGTCACAAATTGTATTTAACAAACAATTTATTGTATTTTATATATTGGTATGAAATAAAATAAAACAGTTTTTATTTGCATGGAAACATAGTGCACATTGACATTTCGAGCATTTTACATGTGTAACACCTTTACATAGTGGATTTTTGCACCTTTAACGATTATTCGTCCACTCTGGGAAATGTCCAATTTTCCGTGCGAATATCTGTGGATGGTTCGAAAGACGTAGGCCCCCTTCTTTTTTTATCTAAATGAAAATATAATACAATAATAAATAAATCATCACCATAAAAGAAGGACGTCCGCGTTTCAATTCTATTTTAGCTTCAACTTGACACATTGTTGTGGCTACTTCTTGGCGAAATTCCGATAGAGAAAAAACAAAATTGTTATCTGATTTGTCTTTCTCACCTTGAATACACCGATATAATAACCACGAATTTACAACTGTCATATCAATAAGGTGTTGGAAGACTCTTATATACCACTTTTTGGATCTGGTTGTATTATGGTATCTCTTCCAATATTGCTGTCTAACAAATCAACCCCTCCCATATGTTTGTTATATTGTTTGACAAGCATGGGACAAGCTATATTTAGTCTTTTCTTGGTTTTGCGGTCATATCGTTCAATATGACTGGGGTAATTTCCCGTACAATGTTGACAAAAAGGTTACCGTTTTATTATCTTTCCATACTAAGGAAGTTATGTCTACACCTTCAATATTTGCCATGTATTCAAAGGATGACCCTCTCTGATCTCTTTTTTCATTTCGATCTTTGTAGGAAGCTTACAATTTGGGATCCTATTCCTCCTTACAGTACCAAGACTGTATATACCTATAAATATACTTGAAAAATTAAATATATAATAGATTTATTTTGCCTCTTTTTGCCAAATATATCAAAAGGTTTATTGAGGTGTAGTAATTATCAAAATATAGCTTAAAATTTTGATTTATAGGTATTGTTCAGCTTAGACGTACAACAATATTGCTGGACGCTCCTAAATCTGGTTCTGTTGTTGGTCTTTTTTCAGAATCATTTTCCTGCCCAGAATATAGTTCAAAATCATCATAGGCAAATCCTGATACACCGCATAGAATGAAGAATTTAAAGCCCCATTTGTGAGGTTTCATTGGCATATATTGTTTTAAATGTATACGAGCTTTGGTTGAGCAAATTTGCTCATCAAGCATTCCTCTTTAGGAATTGTGCGAAACCTATCGAAAGTGTTTCACACTTGAGACTACTTTTATAAGCCTATGATTTTGAACTATATTCTGGGCAGGAAAATGATTCTGAAAAAAGACCAACGACAGAACCAGATTTAGGAGCGTCCAGCAATATTGTTGTACGTTTAAGCTGAATAATACCTATCAAAATTTTAAGTTATATTTTGATAATTACTACACCTCAATAAACCTTTTGATATATTTGATAAATCTATTATATATTTAATTTTTCAAGTATATTTATAGGTATATACAGTCTTGGTACTGTAAGGAAAAATAGGATCCCAAATTGTAAGCTTCCTACAGAGATCGAAATGAAAAAAGAGATCAGAGGGTCATCCTTTGAATACATGGCAAATATTGAAGGGGTAGATATAACTTTCTTAGTATGGAAAGATAATAAAACGGTAACCTTTTTGTCAACATTGTACGGGAAATTACCCCAGAGTCATATTGAACGATATGACCGCAAAACCATGAAAAGACTAAATTTAGCTTGTCCCATGCTTGTCAAACAATATAACAAACATATGGGAGGAGTTGATTTGTTAGAGAGCAATATTGGAAGATACCATATTACAACCAGATCCAAAAAGTGGTATATAAGAGTCTTGATATGGCAGTTGTAAATTCCTGGTTATTATATTGGCGTATTCAAGGTGAGAATGACAATTCTGTTTTTTCTCTATCGGAATTTCGCCAAGAAGTAGCCACAAAAATGTGTCAAGTTGAAGCTAAAAGAGAAATGAAACGCGGGACGTCCTTCTTTTGTGGTCGAAAATCTTATAGAAGGTGATTATTTATTATTGTATTATATTTTCATTTAGATAAAAAATGAAGGGGGCCTATACGTCTTTCGTACCTTGATATTCCCACGGATCAAATTGGACATTTCCCAGAGTGGACGAATAATCGTCAAAGGTGCAAAAATCCACTATGTAAAGGTGTTACACATGTAAATTCTAGAAATGTCAATGTGCACTATGTTTCCATGCAAATAAAAACTGTTTTATTTTATCTCATACCAATATATAAAATAATAAATTGTTTGTTAATGCATTATTATGGTCAAAATATAAAAATATAAAAAAATTTTTTTTGATCAATTATCGATTAAAATGTCAAAGGGAATACCTGAAATTTTTTTCTAACTTTTTGCAAACATTAAAGGTTTAAATATGAAAAAAAAGATTTTTTTATCATTTCATTTCGTGGGCTCTTTCCAAGCCCATTTGAGTTCACTGCCAGATCCGGTTGTTTATATTTATATAATTAATTAAAGTAACCACCTCAAACTAAGTAGGATTAGACGTACTTGTCTAGGTCAGTAATGATTGGAAAATATCCTAAGGACAGCTGATAAGTTAAAAATCAGCTAGTATTATATATCATTAACATAATATTCATCACGGAAAGTATATTTTTTTATAACTCAATATTTTAACAAGAAAAATATTCCCTAAACCTAGAAATTTCTATGAATAAAATCTGCAGGCCGTAAATATTTCCTTTTGAGGTAGCCGTTTTTTTAAATCGGCTTAAATCGAGCCCTTTAACACTGTTATTAATCGTCTTTTAAGCGAAATAAACTGTAATAATATTTTTTTAAAAAAGTTAATTTTTTAAATCAGATATCCAGGATGTTGGCTGCCAAAGCTGCTCTAGCCACCAGATATGATGCTCTTGGAGAAAACGTATCAGTTAACATGGAACTCGGTTTGGAACATAAGGCAAAACTTGAAGTTAGACTCAGGCAACTCGAACAACAACAGGTTATTTTATAGAATGAATTTAGAATTTTTGTAAAAATGTCACTTAATTGGGTATTTAATGATATATAAGTTGTATTGAATTTACCTTTGTAACTGTCGTAGCTAGGGATTTCGTTTATATTATCTATATGTAGTATTAGTTATTTCTATTTTAACATGTATCGTTTTACCGTCATTTAGTTAAATAGTAATAGTTATTATTTTTTTTAAATATTATTTTTTTTTAGAAAAAGATAATATTTATTTATTAATATGTATATAAATAGCGTAGAAAAAAATAACAAATAATTATTTGTGGGTTTTAAATTTTTGTTTTTGATTGATTTTTTTTCAGTAAAAAAGGTTTGTTTAAAAGAAAAATAAAATAAAAAGAGCTTATCGTAAAGAAAAATAAAAAGAGCTTACCGTAAAGAAAAATAAAAAGGAATATAAGCCCAGTGTAATATATTTAGTATTACCCGTGCGATAGTATCCAGCTTAATCAAATTTCCCTGTCAGCTATTTTTGACAGTAACCTCGAAGATTATTTCTTTTAAAATATGATATCAAAATTACTTCTGATTTTTAATAAATTTGACAAAATGGTTATATGATGTAAGTATGTGAATTTGCTTCCTGAAAATTCTTTCAGAATATCATCTTATTATACTGTAATCATGTTCCCCCTAATAAGCCTACTTTTAGTATATACAAAATAGGGTCTGTGTCTATCCACAAATCTTTCACCGATCCTATATTCTTATATAACGATATATCCAATATTTAGATTTATTTTTATTTACCATCTATCCTTCAACCAATATCATAAAAAAATAAGAAATTTGTAAACTATAACTGTAAACTATGAGCGAAACAAAATAAAGATTTTAAAATTTTCCGTATCTCATGGCCAAGGTGATATTTGATATCTATAACGGATATTAAATTAAGTGTATAGGATGTGTCATGCATGGTTCGAATTATTACTAAATAGCTGACTACATTTTTAGTAAAAAAAACGATAAAATACGAAAAATAACAATTTCCACCAAATATGCTTTTTTTTCTGATTTTACAAAAGTGAATCATCATATTAAACATGTGGACAATGATTATGGCTTAACATGACTCGTTAATATTTTTTTAAATCCTTTACTTTTATTGCAAATAAAACCTAACTAAATTTTAAAAAATCCTCTTTTTTTTAAACATATTTTGATTTTATGTTCTTATATTTTTTAACATATGATGGATGAAAATTATGATGAAATATATTTATATTATATATAATTTATATTATTATAATAGAATATAACATAACATTATGTTATTAAATTTAATAATTTTGTAAAACAAAATAAATAGAATTTAATTTCGGGTCCATTTATTCATATGTTTTATTCAATGACATTTAATAATACCTAGACTAACGATGCATTCATAATAATGCTTTTGAAAGCGTCGTTGAATGCAAATCAGCTGGAGCCGCCATTTTGTTAACCCATATAGTAATTATTCTCATGTTAAAAACGACTATTAAATTGATAAAGCAATTCTTTAATAAAGTTTTCGTCAGACATAGGAATAAATTGGCCTCTCGTTTAGAATTTTCAATAATGATATAGGTAATCAAAATGGCGTACCCAGCTGTTTTTATTTTCTTCGTTTAATGAATGCATCGTCAGTCTAACTATTATTATATGTCATTGATTTTAATATAGGAAATTATGTATAAAATAATAAATATTGTACAATACAATTAGGTATAATTATAAAACAATGATAATATACGAACGGTTTTTAAAAAAAATATCCGGTCATACGACCATTTTAATAAAACGGTTAATATCGACTCATCCGCCGATATTTAATATCGGCACAGCCCTAATACAAAATAATTATCAAATTTTTTTTGAGACTTATAGTGCGCACAAATTGAACGTTTTAAATACGCAAATAAAAAAACGTAAACGCATGTTTAAATTGAATCGTTAATTTTTTATTTATTTTTTTTAATATGAAACGTCTAAAATTAAAACAAAAAAAATGTTATACAATTTAAACGAATACATTTAAAATGTATTATTTGCGTTTTGAAGCGCTGCATTTGTGCTCACTATTAAGAATTAATATTTTTTTTACTAGTTTTTTTTTGTCTACTGTGAATTTATTAACCGATGCAAATTTAAACCGCATTTTATTTTATATACAAAAGGATATTTGACTTAATATCTTCTAGCGCACACCATTTTAGAATTTTGCCTTCTTTCTTTCTTGTTTATTTATTCATAAACGAGAATACTTCGCAACTGTGCCTATTTTTTAACGCTATTCAATAATTTTGTATTCGTTATTTTTATTTTAAAATAAATGATAGTGAGTTACATATAGGAATTTTAAATATAAAAATATATATAATTTTGCATTCGCGCGTGTATACATATATATATATATTTTTAGAATAAAGGTTTGACTGGATCGAAGAAGCCCAATTTCGTTCAACAAAAATTCGATATCACAGAGTAATATTCATTTTATAGGCCAATTTAAATAACCCTTTTCTCAATCTTATACCGTTAAATTGATAGAGTAAACTTGGCCAGTATTTTACTGGGGCCTTTGATTGGGTTACATTTTTGTTAAAGATATTTGTGGTTCTACATTTTTTTTTTGGAAAGTTCTTATTACTCTTAATTTAGTTGGATGAGGGGAGTGTATTTTTTTTATTAGCTCAAATGATATTACCTTCAGTAGAATACTATTCACCATACCATATAACCTATCCCACAATCAATTGGGAGCCAAAATAAGAGGCGGGTGTGAGATCTCTCTGCATCCAGTTGTATCTGGATACAAACCCTGGTGACCTGATTAAAATAGATTTTTCAAATGCCTTTAAAACGTATTGGGAGGATTCTAAATCCGATTTTACCCTCTACTTATAATATTTGTGATCCTTACTCATCACTCTTAAAGGACATGGCAAAGCGATTAAAGGGGTTAGGCGTAGATAGTCGCATCCCTAGTCTCTTATGGGGATTTGTTAGGTCTTATAGGCAAATGACATAAAGTTTAGTTAATAGCTCACTAATTGATAATTATTTAGCAGAGAAATTAAATTTATGGACAGGTGTCTGACAACCTGAAGTCTTGCAACCTTAGGTGAAATATTTCTACACATGTTGAAACGTCTGGATCAATCTTCTTGCAATCTGCGCCAATGGAGATAGGGACTATTAGGCTAGTGTGCACTTCAGCCAACAGGGTAAGAATGATAGGTAGAAGTTGTTTAGTAAGAGCGAGCATGGGAAGAGCATTGAGGGATCGAGTAGTGGCTAGTTGTAATTAATTTTCTGGTTCCGATGAGTGTTGAGAGAGTCTCTCACTAATGGGGGCAGATCTGGGAATACCTTTTCTGTAAAAATTTTTTAAAAAACGCGCTAAATAAATTATTTCGAGTTAGATAATAGGCGCTCATTTGTTTAGCGTGATTTTAAATTTAAAAAGATTTTACCGAAAAAGATAATGTATTTCAATATGTGGACTAAGCATCAATTTTTAATTTAAGATAAGCCGCTCCGAAATCTGGTTCAGTGCCGATTTTTTAGATTAATCTTGGTAAATAAAATAGAAAATAATACTAATTCTCTAGGGCTTAATGACACGACAATCACTTGAAAATTTTGGCCTAGGCTCTAGCTTATTTTGATGACTATTACAGATTGATGAAATATTAAATTGCAAGAATCGTCGGTAAATATATTCCGTATTCGTGGGGGGGGGATACGTATTTCATTGTGATTCGCGATCTTTTAATTTTTGAAAAATCCGATCTGACCTAGAAACGTATTCCAACATGAATAGACCCTCACTCAGAAATTCAAACATTTAGCTTAGAACTTTTGAAATATTCGTAATATATATCAATTTTTTTGTGTAGATTTTTCATGATAATTTTAAAATAAAAATACGAAGTTTTGTGGCGACAATTTTCTAAAATTTATAGGGCAATTTAAATAAACGAAATATATACATATAAAATTTAACTATCATTATTATAAAACCTATTTATTAGTATTTGACTGTAACCTTGATAATTATAAGTAGTCGACTAGACTTGTGGCTTCTTTGTTAAATGTGATATCAAAATAAGATGGATTGGTTAATGCTGGAATAGATTTCCCCATCATAATAGACTCTTAAAATTTAAAAATCTCTCGGTAAATGATGTAAAAACTCAGAGATTCCTATCCTTGTGGTATATAAATCGTCATTCTGGAACTATATTTACAACTAGTCAAAATATCATAATTTTCTTAAATTCCTCCTTTAAACTTGCACCAAAAAATATTTATTATAATTTATTTATTTTTTGTTGCCATGATTAAAAGAAAAGTGGTAACTGCTTAAGTTTCGGTTAGATCAAACAAGTTTTTTAAGTAGTTCGGTTTCATCCTACACTTATATATATTGAGAAGATAATTGTTTATTGTTTCAAATTTAAAAACCTTTTTAAATGTCTTTAACGAAGGCCACAATTCCAACCTTACGACGCCGGATTAGATTCAACCCTGCCCACCACAGCACATAAGAGAAAACTAGAACTTGAAAGCAATTCCTCCTTTTCTTCGATCAATGCAACAGCTAAAAAGGCCAAATCTGATCAAAGTGATCACGAGATTGATTATGCTAAAGGTTTTAATCTTTTGAAATGTTGGGAATTTTGTCTGGTTCAACAAATTACATTAATTGCTAACCTAGACCTAGTTCATTTATTTAAAAAAATATACTTACATTGAAATTCAGCTATAATAAATATTAATCAGCTGTGGTAAATATCATTGGCTGTAATAGAGGCCATTGAAAGACATTCGCTTAAATGGCTTTTCAATGGCGGTCTTCAAACTTTTTAAAGAATTTTAATGAATGAATCTTCTATCTAAGTTAATATTTATTAGCGCTATGCCGATCCACATATTTTACATCGATCCGATCCAATATTCGCTCAAAACCGATTCGATATTTATATTAATTTGTTTACCATTTACCTTTCAGCCAAATGTAATTTAAAAAAATCTAAATTTTCTGTGCAAAAAATTTTTTTTTTATTTCTACTAAGACTTAAAAATTTTTATGTATGCATATGCATTTTATTTTGAGCAATATATATCCTCGCCTGAGAATTACAATATTCTATCTCCACTTTTCATAATTTTACAGAGGAGCAATACAAAAAAAATGAGTTTGAGTTTTTTTTAAATGTAAATAAGAATGGTATTATTTAAAAAAATTTATTTATCTAAATAAATCACTTTTACAAAAAGTGAATATAGAATAACCTAATTCTCGGGCGACGATATGTTGGTATGAATATCAAAATAGTTATATTTAATATATAAAATTCATAATATATTTTCGATTTTTTAAATAAAATAAAAATTCTTAAGATTTTCTGGCAATAGAATTCTACGAGGCGGATTATCTTTATTCCCTGAAAATTCTCTTTATCTTTTGTAAAAAAAAATAATAAAATTCCATAACTCAGGTGCCCATCTTAAAGAAAAATAAATAATTAAAAATCAAAGATCCTTAATCATAAAATAACAAATAAAGATATTTTTTTAAAGGGGTCAGCTTGATTCTATATTTAATATCTGCAGAGATCTAGCATTAATGTCATATGGGCTTCCGGGCTTTAATTTGGTTTAAGAAATACATAATTGCCTTTGCCTGAGGCAAAGCTGGAAATCATAATAGAAATAAATATATTCGTTGATGTAGTAGTAGTAAATTTTATTATTTATTATAAAGCAAAGAAAGAAAGTAAAAAGAGTAAAAAGAAAGTCAAGGATATCTTGGATGAATTGCAAAGTTCTACTACCGATGTCAATGGGACAGATGTACCTGAAACAGATGTTAAAAGTAAAATTATTTAATGTTAATATTAGTTTATTTAATAAATATTATTTAAAATTTGACTAGATAAAAAGGACAAGAAGAAAAAGAAATTCAAGGACGCAACAGAATAGGTAACCAACCGAAAATAAAAAAATCGAAAAAGAAAAAGCATTGACAATTAGACAATTATTCAAAACTTCTATTATATTGAAATTTGCATAATGTATATTGTAAAAACACTAGATTATGTACATAATTGAATCATGTAATTAATTAATTGATTATTACCTAATAAAGAAAAATTATTTCGATCATATATTTAGATCTTTTAATTCTTCACTTTTAAAATATTACAATATAAGATTAGATCTTTATATACCATGCCCAAGTAAAAGGAATGTTGAGAAATAAATTAGCAGCACTATTTCTTTCTTATCACTTTAGTTCAAAAAAATTATGGGTTAAATATCATTTTTTGCTTAGCGTTCATGAGTAAGTATACAAAATATGATATAAGTACAATAATTTTTGCACTATGAATGTGTGAATGGTAATGGTGAAATTTTACTTATAGAGGTAGATCGTATTTGTTCCTCCTCACCTCTTTCAATGATTATTATTTTTGAACTATGCTTAAGTTTTTCTTTTAGGTAGAATTATACTCTGAGAAAATAAAGTAGATAGAAACGTAAATGATTCTTGAATGAATTGTTAGTTGCGAGAATACATTTGATTTAATGATTGGTATCGTCTGCTTTAGCGATCACGTGCTTATATCACGTTTTCCATGTACTTATTTTTAGATCTCGTCTGCCATTTTATATTCGAAAATTAAATTTAAAAAAACTCAGGACCTTGTTATAATTATGCGACTATAATACGAAATAAGGGTAAGTCTATAAATATTATTTTTTTTTCTTTTTTAAATGTACCCTCCTAATTGTGTTAGGAATCACTTTGTAAAATTATTAATATCTTTTGAAGATAAAAGAATAATTTATGACAAAAAAATATTTATTGATAATAAACTTTCTTTTCTCATAAAATAAATATAATTTGCAATCAGTTTTGTTTTCATTATTAAAATCCGATAATAAAATTATATATATACAAAAAAAATATAGATAAATTCATTTTCGATTATTATTGGCTTTTCGAATAGGTCTAAAATATAATAATTATCTTAGAAGATGTAGGTAGACAAAGTAAGAAACATTAAAGTCGTGGGGGTATTTTAAAATAGCAAAAACAAACCTTTAAGTTTTGCTAATATAAAAATTTCACCATTATATCATCCATTTTATCTAAAAAAGACTATAGCAGATGATTGTTTTTTTACCGACATTCATAATATGATATAATAAAAAAAATAAAATTATATATATTTTATTTTTGACATTAAATACTTTTTAGGGGCAAAATATTTGGAATATTTTTGTATATCCTTCTAAAAATCTAAACCTTTTTTAAAAAAAAAAAATTATCTATACTTTAGTAAGAAGAAAATTTTTATAACATTTAAAAATTTAGAATTTCATTTATATTTTTAAATAATACTTTTAATAAAAATTGAAATGAAAAATGTTAAATAATTTTTAAATATTTATAGAATTTTTTTTTTACAAAAAAAAGAAGAAAGAATACACTAATAAGTTTATTGAACCTTAAAGGCATACTTAGTTTCAAATCAAATTACATTTTTGTACGAAAAAATTTTTTTTTAAAATATATTTAAATAATTGCCCAGGTGATTATTTAGTTATTCTATTATAATAAATTAGTAGTAAAAACTAAACTATTCTTGTTGCCATGAAATTATTATTTAACTTTCAATATTTTTTTAAAAACATAAATAAATGAATTAAAGTATTAATCATAAAATATATATTGTTTATTTTCTTCCCTTTTTAAAAAATTTTCAAATAAAGGTGTGATTTTTTTTATCAAAAAAATAAATTTTTATTTTTACTATTTGAGCTTCTATTAAATAAAATATAATTATTTTATGAATGAAATTTAAACTCATAATATCAACAACAAGCAGAAGTTTCTAGAAAGGTTTACCCACTCAAAATAACATTTTATCAAATAATTACAATCTCCAGAATATATTTTAATTTCAAATCAAAGAAAATTAAAAAATTTTTTTTTATTGATTAATTCATATTCCCAAATATTAAATGTAATATTTTAAATATAAAGTAAAGTGGTACAATTATAATGTATCGATTTATTTTGAAACATTAATACGCAGTTATAACTATTATATATGAAGATAAATATTATAAAACTAATCTTCTTTTTTAAAAACAAAACAAAAGGACTATAACTTGTATTTGTGGGCGATAATTGGGATCATCGGGGAATACAAGAAGAAAAAAAATTCTAAATATTTATAAAATTTCAGAGGTTTTGTGCTACAGCTATAATGGCGAAGGCCTACATTTATAGTAAGATGGGGGGCGACATTAATATATGTTAAATTAAACAGTTACTCCATCTTAGCGATGAATTACGCTTTGTTTGAAATACATTTTAATATTTCGAGCCTACTATAAAGGGGGGACGTAGCTTTAAAAAAATGTATAAATATTAATATTTTTTTTAAAAAAAATCGTTTTTTTTTTGGATTTTTTTTTGTTTGCATTGGAGGAAATATAATTAATTTAGTAGAACATATATTTAGTTTTTTTTAAAAAAAAAAGGATATTTGTGGTAAATACTAATAAAAGATGCTAAATATTATCAAATTAGTAAGATGTATTTTAAAAAAAATTTATATATATATATAAAAAAGTTATTTTTGAATATTTTATCAACAGGTAATTATTCTTGAAAGTACAGGTATCGCGAGACTAATTATTATAAATATTATACAGGTTTGAACACTGACTATTAAGATTAGCTTTGATATTTTGGACAAGTCAAATAAAAAAATTACTATGATTTTATTATATAAGAACGAACCACATCATATGGTAAGTTTAAATATATATACAAATATAAAGGCGGTTATAATTATTTTTATATTTTTATTCGTAAGGATTTAGTGTTTTTGAAAAGTAATACCATTACTAGTGTTAAGGATCTATGTTTATTTATATTTTTGGGTGAAGGAAATATCTAGTTGAAAAAAAAAATTATCTAAAATAAAAATTAGGATTATTTCTTAATAAATATGAGTTTTTATGAGGTATGTATATATATAAAAAAAAAATTTAAAATGATAAATTATTTTTTTTTAATTTTTTCCCTTTTCTCCCCTCCTCTCTTTTTCAATAATTGTCAAATTTTTCGATTGGTGGAGGGGTCGGATAAATGTCCTCTAGTTTCCTGATATGGCCATCGTCGGTTTTTATATACGAATTATGATCACGCGTTTCGGAAGAATCCATTTTGTTTGTATCGTAAAAAATTTCGGGATGCTGCGAATCGGCGAATGTATTGGTACAATAATCGTGACCATTTTCAATCACCGAATAACGATGGCCCTCGGCGTTGAACTTGATAGCGACGAGCTGGTTATCGTCCTGACTTTCGGGCCGAATAGGCGGTGATTCGGGGGGTAGGGTGTTATTGATATTGGTATCGTTATTGCGACCATGAAAATGCGAATTATTTTTATCATCGTTGTTGGTATTGCTATTAGGTACTTTGAGATTATTCTTGGAATCGTAAAAACCTTCCAAATAGTCGCCTACAACCGGTATCAAGTTTTTGAGGATATCCTTTTTTTTAAAAATAAAATATAGTTTTGGTATGTAAGAGGGAGATATATCTAAAAAAAAAGAGAGAATTATATATTTTTAAACCATCCCAAATCTTTCCTATATTCCTGGGTAATCAAAATAGAATGCATTTTTTTTTATTTAAAAAAAAACCATATGTTTTGATTTTTTTTTCATTTGGGAGGTTTTCTTTTAAACTTAACGAAAAAAAAAATTCTTGTTTTTTTGAAGATGTGAAATCAATTTTATCTCACGCTATTTAAATGGCAAACTTATATTTATGATGGATGGAATATAAATTCGATTATCCAATCAGTCAAGACCTGAACTAAAAAAGGAAGTTCCGGTTTTGAATATTGGATTCTAGAGGTTCTTAATTTTTTTTTAGATGAGATCTAATTTACGGTTCCAAGATTTGGTGCCTTTGGTTTAAGGTCATAGTTTCGCAAATTCTTGGGAAAATTATATATTGTCTTTATTACCGTTTCGATATTGGTGAGCAGTGTCAAATTATCCAAAAAGGCGAAGAGACTGTTATCTTGAAAAGTTGGATAATATTCGTACGAGTACATGATGTAAGCGATGCACAAACAAGATGACGCCATCATGGAGGGCGGAAAAGAGGAATATAGGAACTCTATAAATGAAATATATATATTTTTTTTTAAAGTTTCACTTTAAAGGCTTATAAATCGGTTTCATTTCGCGATACCATATAGGTAACTTCATAGGCCCGCCTCAAGCTAAACGAAAAAAAAACAGCCTCGAATTTAATGTAAATTTTTTAGGCCCTCAGGTGAAATCGTGCTTATTTCGCTAAGTTCGAGGTGAGCCAGAGTGCCACATAGTAAGACATTATATATGTGTGTGTGTGACTTAAATAAGCTATATCATAATCATTATATACATATATATATATATATATATATGTATATAAAAGCAAAATCATAACTTTAATTTATTCTTTTAACCAACAAAAAATAAAAATTTTATTTTTGGAAAAAATTCATAATTGATAACAATATTTTTAGGACTATTCTAGATAACAAAGGAACCCCGATATGTTTTGTGAATGTATTGTATACACATATAAACTTATTTACCATAAAAAGAACTTAAAACTGGTATTCATACCAAAGGTTAATATTTATATGATTATTTTAGTGCTATTATTAATGCAAACATTTTTATATTATATGAATTTTAGTTCGAGACGAAATAAAAATTTTTGGGTATTTTTTTTAATATAATATATATTTATTATCGCATAAACATCCAGCAAAAAAATTAATTGAGCGTATATTATTTTATAACATTATATAAAAAAAAAAGAAGAGGTAATGTAATTGACATATCTCCTTTTTTTTTCTTGCCAAACTAAAATACCTTTTTCAAGAATTATGCACAGAAAACTCATTTATGGTTAATATATAAGTATAAAATTTCTTTTCCATTGTCAATAACTTCATCATAGAATCGACTAATTGGGATTTTAATTAATTTTTTTTTAAAAAAAAC